TCCAGAAGTGAACAAAGTATTTCAAATGGGTTTCTAACTAAATGCTACATTACCTCAAAGTTAAGTAGCCACAGATAGGTCCTACTTGATACAATCTAGGGCTATTTGTTAGTGACCAGATTGCAGATATTCAGAACAAATCATAAGCACTAATTTATATATTTTTGTACGTATAATTTATATGTATCAATTAAAACACTGTCCACTGTCCAACATTTCTGAAAGAGAAATATATTGATGTCATTTCTAACTCTCGCTGAAGGTTCATTACTCATAATTACCAGCACACTTTGGCTCTGGCATTTGCTGTAAAGGAGATCAATGAACATTCTTGGATTTTGTCCAATGTTAGCCTTGGTTTCCATATTGCTACTCATTATACTGGGGGAATTACAACTTATCAATTAGCAATGGAATTTCTATCTACAAAGGATAAATTTATACCCAACTACAAATGCAATGACCAGACCAACACAGTAGCTGTCATTGGAGGACCCCTTATTAACACCTGTCTCAGCATGGCAATCACTCTACGGAACTACAAATTTCCCCAGGTGAGATATGAGAGGGTCAAAAACTATTTATTATATTCAAAATGTGGGTGACAGAAATGAAACATTTGAGGCAAGTCATCATTGACTTTCTCCATTTAGATCTCATATGGATCAGCTCCATTGATGAATACTGAAACAGCAATGTTTGTCAAATGGATGTTCCCAGAGGAAACCCATCAATTTAAAGCAATACTACACTTATTGTTGCATTTTGGATGGACCTGGGTTGGGTTAGTTTGTCTGTTGGAGGAAGATAGGGACAGTTTCATTCAAAAGAGACTTTCCATGTTTTCAGAGAGAGGAATCTGCTTTGATTTTTTAATATGTCTTCCCCAAATGGTGTATGGTAGTAAAGCTGCTGAAATGATAGAAAATGCAGAAAAAATATTCAGAGTGATTATGGAGAGTACAGTCACTGCAGTCATTTTAAGTGCTGAAATTGCAGGCATGATTCTTTTGAGACTAATGATGAATTTATTCAATGATGATAATATTCCAAAAGAGAGACAGGCCAAAGTTTGGATCATGACAGCCCAGATGGAATTCACATCCTTTCTGATGCAAAGACAGTTCCACATTGATTTTCTTCATGGTGCTCTTTCCTTTGCAATTCATTCAAAGTAGCTGACTGGATTCCAACAATTTATGCAGAAGAGGAACCCAAACTTTGAAAAAGAAGATGGTTTCATTAGGGATTTCTGGAAAGATGCATTTGAATGCTCCTTCTCCAGTGATATTACAGATGAGAATGCTGAAAGGATCTGCACTGGAGAAGAGAAGTTGGAAACTCTTCCTAATTCTGTCTTTGACATCATCATGAATGGACATAGTTACAGTGTCTACAATGCAGTCTATGCTTTGGCACATGCTCTGAGGACCATGCGCTCTGCCAAATTCAAAGGGGGACAAAAAATGAATGAGAGGAGATGGAAGCTCTTACTGCAATCACCTTGGCAAGTAATGTTGGCTAATACAAAATTTGGGGAAATCATCAAGTACCAGAATAGGAGACCAGTTTTGTGGGGTTTTTTTTAAATTTTATTATTTCAACAATTAGAACACTTTATAGATATCTTTGAAAACTATATAGAAGTCCTTGATATTTTAATATGAAAAAAACAATAGAAATTTAATGCTTAAATATAGACACAGTTAGAAATATGTAATATATGTANCCACTACCTCCTCTGGAACTTTGTCATGGCTCCACTACTCTTTCTGTGAAATAATAAAATTAGTTTTTGAACTTCCCTCCTGTCACTGTGAGATTATGCCTCCATGTTCTTATGTTTTTATTAATATTGAGACTACTGCCTTAGCTCAATGTTAAGTAGCCACAACTATGTCACTGTTTTCTACATGATACAATCTAGGGCTATTTATTAATGCCCAAATTGCAGATATCCAGAACAAACCATAAGCACACATTTATATATTTTATGTACATATGCTTTATATGTATAAATTAAACATATGTATCAGTTAAAACAGTTGTCCAATTATGACAGAAAAATATATATACATAGTTTCTAACTCTCACTGAAGGTTCATCACTCATAATTATCAGCACACATTGGCTCTGGCATTTGCTGTAAAGGAGATCAATGAACATTCTGGGATTAATCTAAATAATTGCAGAACCTCTCTTGGCAATCTTGAACTTTTTTGCCTTTCATTTCATCCATCTAAAAAAGAGAAACCCTCTAATGCATCTTTTAGCCTGTTATACACTTAGGGTGTGAAAAGTGAACTGTCTTCCTTCTCTCAGAAAATATGGATAATATTGAAATCAGATAGTGACATAGGATACTGAACGCAGAAAACTTTTGACTGTTTATCCCCAGTAAGTTTTAAGTCAGTTACCAATGACTGATCCACTATCTCCTCTGGAACTTTGTCATGGCTCCACTACTCTTTCTGTGAAATAATAAAATTAGTTTTTGAACTTCCCTCCTGTCACTGTGAGATTATGCCCCCAGGTTCTTATGTTTTTATTAATATTGAAACTACTGCCTCAATATTTTCTGGTGTCTTTTTCTCAGCTCTTGCACCATTTTTGTTGCCCATCTCTGGGCTCACTCAATCTTTTGAATATATTTTCATAAGCGAGTCTCCAGAAGTGAACAAAGTATTTCAAATGGGGTCGGACTAAATGCTACCTTAGCTCCATGTTAAGTAGCCACAACTAGGTCCTACTTGATACAATCTAGGGCTATTTATTAGTGCCCAAATTGCAGGTATCCAGAACAAACCATAAGCACACGTTTATATCTTTATGTACATATGCTTTATATGTATAAATTAAACATATGTATCAATTAAAACAGCTGTCAAATTATGAAAGAGAAATATATTGACATAGTTTCTAACTCTCGCTGAAGGTTCATCACTCATAATTACCAGCACACATTGGCTCTGGCATTTGCTGTAAA